CTCTTCATTTGATTTCATGTTGTTATTTTAATCTTAAGTTATCAAATTTACTTATTGTATATAAAATATTCCAGATTGTAAATATATTATTTTGGTTAAAATAAAAATATACACCAACCCAAACCCCTTAAATATTGCTTAAAACATTATATTCTTTAAAATCTGAACATTAGTGTACAGGAATACTCTACATGGATACAAAATTAAATTTAAAAAAATAAACTTAAACTTATGTATGTTTAGATAATGTTTCTTTTTGTATAAAACATAATTTTGTAACATTGTGATGTATATTTTAATTGTTAAAATAAACTCATAGTTTAAGAACTTTGGCCGTTTTAAAGGAATGATATATTTCAGTAATGTGCACTAAACCATATTTAGTAATAACTTTAAATAATTTAAATGTTACATTTTCAGAGAATCATATGAAAAAGTTTTTAAACATGGCTAGTCTTAGTGACCCAGCATTCTGCCCAAACGGCTGTAATCGTTCATATAAAGGCACAAAACGGAAGTCCAATCTAAAAAGACATTTGAAATATTCATGTGGGATGTACCCGAAATGGAAATGTATTGTGTGCCAAAATCCATTCAAGCATAATCATACATTGCAGTAACATATACTGACTACTATAAACATAAACTTTAGTAAATACATGTTTTCCAAGACAGCTCAGATATAAGGAAATGTTTACAAACTATACATACTATAATTTATTATCAATGATAATATTTCATTTTCAAAAAACATTTTATTAAAAATACATAACAACTTAATTTGTTTTGTTTTAAATTATATTGTAAGTATTTTTCCTAATACACTTTAATTTGTATTCAACTACTTCTATACCTAAATAAATTAAAGAAAAATGTATGAAAAAAACAAATGTTGTTATTATTACATGTTCATTGCAGTCAGTATAAATACACTTTTTTTAAATACACTACCTCCTCTCGTTAAGTTTTGGTGATAGAATAAAACCATTATTATACAATCCTATATAAGCTTTGGCCTTATATATTGTTTGACTAAGTACAATGTACTTTAATAGTTTTTGAGATTCAGTTGTATTGTATTATATTGTTAATACATTTATTTTGCTAGTAAATTATTAAATATAAATATTTGTTTTAATTATTATTCATATTCGCTTTGATAGCCAAGTGCATTAGCATTATATTTTTTTTTAAATATATTTACAATTTTATATTTACAGAGAATAATATGAACGAGTTATTAAATAAAGCTAGTAAAAACGATCCAGCAATCTGCCCAAATGGTTGTGGCCATGAGTATAAAGGTTTGGATCGCAAACGGAATCTAAAAAAACATTTAATTTATGCATGTGGTGTTAATCCACAATTCCAATGTATAATTTGCTTAAAAAAATTTGCTCGCAAGCATACATTAAAAATCCATTCAACTTCTGTTCATAAATTAATTTATGACTCTCATTTTCATTAATATTGTAAAGCTTTTTATTATATGAATAAGATAAATTATTAAAATTAAAATAATTAAAGTACCTATTGGATTTGTAAAAATGTACAACTGAACTGCGTTCATTAATATGTCATGTTGCATCTTGAAAAATATTATAATTTGGCCCAAATCCTCCATTCAAACAAAAGCAATCATACCAATAGTATAATAAGTATTCATAAAATACTATGATTTTGTTAATAAATTTAATTTTTGTTTCAATAATGCTCTTACTTTACAATTTGTTTTATTGTTTTCAAATAATCTCAACACATTTTAAAACATTGAACCTATATATTTAGGTTTAAGACTTGTATTCCAAGGTTGTGAAACAAAAAAATGAAAAATATCTTCTCCAGGTTTCAGGAAACATAAATAAAAAATTTTTTTAATCCATCTTTGTTAGATATCTTATACTCTTGGGATAGTTAATTAATTATTTTAAAATAGACAGTAATTTAATGTGCATTGCATTAGCACTAACAATTGGTTAAGGCGTTTGGAAAACACTGTATACCTAATATTAAGCATAATACTATATATTATTGACACATTTTACAATTTAAATATTTGATAAATTATGTTATATTTATCATACTTAGCAATATTGATTGTTTTAATTTTTATTTTTAGAATTGTCTTGCAGTTGGTTAACTCAACTTAATTGGATAACACAATTAGATCCAGCCAGGTGTCCAAACAAATGTGGTAAATTGTATAGAGGACCTTATAGGAAGCATCATCTCAGACAACATTTGGTGTATGAATGTGGTGTTATACCAAAATTTCAATGCAAAATATGTTCCAAGCGTTTCGCTAGAAACCCTCAGTTAAAATATCATTTAATTAGAATACATAAGATTGTTGCTTAACATACTAAAATGTGTTCTATTAAAAATATTTATAATCTGGTTCATTGTCATTCATCAATGCTGATAAATAATGACAACATTTTACAAAAAAAATCAATATTAAATAAAATTGTTTTCATTTAAATTTGGTATGCATTTTAATTGTTTAACAAAATATTTACCACCAACACTAGCCCTTCTCCAAGAATTATGTACCTACCTCAAAATTCAACTCCAAATTGTAATCATTATTTTGTACCTACTGTTGATTACAAGTGTACCCTGTCTTGCCCAGGGTTAAAATAGAAAGATGTGTACATTGAAGGTTGTAGTCTTTAAATACAGTTTTTTTTTTCGAAACTGAGTATAGATTAAGAACATTTTATTGTAATTTAAAAGTTATGTTAGTAGGTACCTATTTATGATAAATAAATATTACCGTAAAATGGGTTAACTTGGGCCATTTGCCTAACTTGAATACAAATGATATAGTATTATAAACAATAAGATTTGAGCACTAGAAATGTTTTTATCACTACCATATAATCACACGCCTATTTATTGTCACTTTCGCAACGATTGTCTTGCTGTCCGGACATTCTCACATTGTAAATACTTATTATTTAAATATAAATACATAAGTAGATTATTATGTGCTATAAAACCATGTTAAAACTTAGTGTACACACTGCTTGCTATTAGTTGAATGTAAATGTGGGTTCCAACATTAGTTGCAGCAACTACTCGTGATTTATATACATTATTTCATTATTATTAATTACATATATGTAATGTTTGATGTCATCATGACATGCTGGAAAAAAATAGTTTTTATGGTAACTTAATCATGTACTTTTATGTACTTATAAATCATTTTATACCTTAAAATTAAACTATGTGTTATTATAAAGTAATTGCTAAGTAACTGACCAAGTTGTGATTTATTTAATTTTTAATGTAATTTTAAATTAATAAAGTGACTACTTAATCTTAAAAAGAAAAAAAAATAATAATTTTATTGTTTAATCTAAAATAGGGTAATAACTGTGTTAAAAAATTTAAAACTGTAATGTTTTAAAAGCTGTTTTTTTTCCAAGTTAAAATATTTGTAGTTTATCATGATTTTTTCATATAAAACAATAGTTGTCCTAAGTTTGCAAAAAACGAGGTTAACTTGGGGCACAAGTTAATTTTTTTTAAATGAGAAGGAGTAAAAAAAAAAAACATATGTGTCGTACACTCTAAGCCAAGACCAGAATTTTTGGTCCTTACGATTATTATCATATTTTGAAAACTTTTCGATCAGGCATTCATCTGAAGTTCAAAAGTGCCCCAAGTGAACCCATTTTAGGTAATAGGTTTAATGTATTACCTATTGAACAAATGATGAATTAATCCTTTGATGAATTATTTTGTAGGGTAGATAATGGCATCATAAACCTATTATAGAAACAATCTCTTATAACTTTGTATTAAATATTTATATAGCTTCATAATTTAAAATAATTTATCCTCCCCCTTGAATTACTTTAGATCCAATACTAGGTATACCTGCTATTATCTACATAAGATTTAAAATACATAATTGAGTAAATAAAAAAAATATTATTTGAATATTGTGCTTTCAAGTGCTTATTATAATCAAATTAATTATGAAATGAGAGGATTGAAAATTATACAGAAATCAAATTATATGGTTGAAGTTGTTTGTAAAAAGATAAAAATTATAAACAAATAAAGAACATTTGATATCTGACCACAGTGTTAATCTAAAATAATTCCAATGTGCAGTTAGCTTTAGAATATTAGTTTTATTATTATAACTAACTTAACGTCGAGTATTACTGCTGGGTAGCTACTCCCCTCACGCTGTCACAGTCATTGTATATTCCGCTCATATTCTCATTGTAAATAATATTACAGATTGTATATCTTCTAATAAATGTTAATAAAAAAAAAATTATAATACATGGTATTACGTTTTGTAAAAATTTAAAAATATTATATTAAAAAAAAGAAGAATATTAAATATATTTTACATAACATATATATTTTATTCATCTTAGCTTGTGTATTTTTATCTGGTATATATTTATGTAGAATACCTAACCTTCATTTTTAACAAAATAATTTAATACGTAAGTTCATTCATAGTTTTTACAAAATGTTATCAAGTTTTTTTATTTTTTAATTTTTGTGTCAAGTTTGGACTTCGAAATATATGAAGTACTAGTAATTGAGTAGGTATGAATTCGATACGAAAGGCACTAAACTTTTGCAGACCAACTAATTTGTCAAACAATTTTAAGTTTATATTATCGTCCAACTAAGCTATTTTCCAATAGTTATCTATAACCCCTTTATACACTTTTACATATAAATAATATCAATTGAACTATCTAATAATTATATTATAAAAAGATTTTGAATACATTTGGGATTTTATATTATGTCAATGTAAAAAAATAAAATAAAAATATATAACAATATAATATACTCTTGTGTTATTTTATTGATAACCTACTGATTATACCAAGTGTTCCACAGAAAATATTGAATATGTATTACATTAGCACTATTTTTAGTCTTGTGGAAAGCAATTGTATTCAAATGTATTTCAATTTATATGATTTATGTGTTTTACAAATTACATATTCAAATGTATGGCATACTTAACAATATACAGTGTTTTGATTTTGTTCTTTTTAGAAGCGCCTTGCGGTTGGTTATCTCAACTTAATTCAATAACACAAATAGATCCAGCCAAATGTCCAAACAAATGTGGTAAATTTTATAGAGGTCCTCATAGAAAGCATAACCTCAGACAACATTTGGTATATGAATGCGGTGTTGCACCAAAATTTCAATGCAGAATATGTTTTAAGCGTTTTTCTAGAAACCATCACTTAAAATTTCATTTGAAGAGAATACATAAAATAATTGATTAATACAATATTACATTTGTTTTATTATAAAATAATTTTAAGTCTGGTTTGTTGTCAAAAATATTAACTAATATTAATTGTTTTTTACCAAAGGAAAAATTAGTAAATACATTTGGGAGTCTATAATGTCTATCTGTATGTAATGAATAAAAATAAACATTTATAATAACATATATTATTCTTGTGTTGGTTTGTTGATTACTTATCAATTATACAGGGTGTTCCACAAAGGTTAATTATCTTAAACTGTTGTAATATATTTACTATCCATTACCACCAAAAATTGGTAGGCTTTTAGAACACCCTTGTAATACGCATGAAATATAATTTTTAAAATCTACGCATTTTACAATTTAATAAATAATCAAATTTATCTTAGACAATAATTAGTGTAGGAATCTGGCGTTAAAATAAAATTACAATACATTTTGCTAGTACTCATCAGTTAAAACTTGATTTAGAAAAATTACCTGTTTAATATTTTAAAATGTGTTTTATTATAAGTACATTGAAAAAATAGTAAATAAATTATAGTGGAATACTAAGGTAAATTATTTAAAAATAGTGACATAATTAAATGTGCATTATATTAGCACTAATAATTGGTAGTCTTGTGGAATACATTTGTATTCACATGCAATATAATTTATATAATTTACATGTCTTAAAATATTAAAATTTATATTTATGTCAATATAAAATGTTTTTATTCTGTTATTTTAGATTTGTCTCGCAGTTGGTTAACTCAACTTGACTGGATAACACAACTTGATCCTGCCAGATGTCCAAACAAATGTGGTAAACTGTATAACGGTCCTTATAGAAAGCGTCATCTCAGACAACATTTAGTGTACGAATGTGGTGTTATACCGAAATTTCAATGTAGAGTATGCTTCAAGCGTTTTGCTAGAAATCCTCAATTAAAATATCATTTAATTAGAATACATAAAATGATGGCTTAACATAAATGTGTCCTATTAAATTATGTTTATAGTGCATTGTCAGTTATTAAATGGATTATAATACTTTTAATAACAATTCTTATTTAAAGTAATAATCCAAAGTTATTTAAGTATTTTAGAAATGTGTACAAAATATGCTATAAATTATAAATAAATTACACAATATGAAATTAGTATATACTAGTACTTGTAAATAACGCCGTGGTATTTAATTAATGTAATTATTATCACAACTTGTTGTGTGTAAATGTTTGTTTAAAATAAATCTTTTCACTGAGAAATCAAATATTATTTTATTTACATTATGGTACAGACGCCATTATCGTTATTTTAGTAAACATTTTATGGGGTTAAAATGGCTGTAAACTTTGATTTTTAACAAATCATTTGCTTTTAAAACATTGTTCATTGTATTTAAGACTAATATGAAAAGAGGAGCCAACTACTTTATCTAATCATCTATAACATATATAATCAATCTGAGACTTATATAAGATTTTAGATTTCAGAAACCAAAGTACATGTAATTTACTAATGTGCATGAATTTTTAATAAAAAAAGTATGGCTTTTTAATTGACTTAATCATTTTATGCAGTAACTAATAATTAATTAGTAATTATTATGGCCCAGAACTTAATGACCTAAAAATCTTTAAAAAAAAATGACCATAAAAATACCAAAAATTACTTTATAATGACTTAACATTTTTATGCAGTTCATGTATCATAAATCGTAATTATTATAGGTGCTAGCTCTTTAAAAAATTTTAATCTCAAAGGAACCTTCAACATTTTGTTTTGCAGTTTGAATAAGTCGATTAACTTTTGGGAATTTTTTTCTGATTGACTGAGCCTAATAGTATGCCTATAGTTTATTAAATAATCGTAGATTGCAACAACAAACGATTAGGTGACAAGCAAATGGAAACTGAATGTATTACAATAAAGTGTAACTTTCAACAAGAAAAATGCAAAAAGTGCAAAATAAAAACTATACCATTTATTCTATATTCCATGAATCAAATGTATGTAAATACGAGTCTCGAATGTAAGCATTAGAAAGAAAGATGAAAATGCATCAAGTTCCGGCCCCTAGTAATTATATATTTTAACAGTTCGTATTACAAATTGTTTAAACTATTACTAAATTTTGAACTTTATTTTATTTAGGAAATACTTTGTCACATTATGTTGTATGCATTCATGATTGCGGTGTACCGTATAAAGGCTTTCATCACAAACAACATTTAAAAAGACATTTGAAGTATAAGTGCGATGTCCATCCACAGTTTCGATGCTTATTGTGTAAAAAATATTTCACTAGGAATTCAAGTTTGAGACGTAATAAGATATTAATTCATGGTATAACATGTTAAATTCATTACAAATTGACTTACGTTTAAAATAAAAACAACAATATGTGTTCAACTCATTAATACTATTTCATGATTAAAATATTTTAAATTTTAAATCATTGTCTAGCATATTTATATTATGTTTTCAATGAAATCATCATTGTTTATAATTATTATACATAATATAATATTATTTTAAGTAATGAACCATTTTCATAGTCTCAAATTCTATACAATTTAAATTAAATATACCCAAGGTTCCACATGTCATTGTCCCCCACAGTATTTAATCCATGCCAGGATTTCGTTCTCAAACAGATAGCGGAGATGGAGGTATTCAGCATCCATGTCTTCAAAATACAAAAAAACATTGAAAACATTACAGTTGTAGGTTTTAACAACGATACCACCACAATCATCACCAAGGACTTAACCAGCGTCACCACTCTCATGATCATAGCTAAAGATCTATTTTCCACTGTCGGAATGCAGATAAACCCTACCGTATCCGTGATTATCAAGATAGATATAGATAGTACCAAAAATGTAACACTCTTAGACAATTTAGTAATCCCTCCAGTGGAAGGCTGTATAAACAACTGTATAAAATACCTAGAGGTTAATTTCAAAGATGAAATAGTTTTCGATGGCAAAAGATTTTTTTCTCAATTAGAAAAAGATTTTAGAAATGTAGTAACTTCTCTCTTATTGCTAGAAACTTAACATACTGGACCAATATGTTTACCCAAATGTTTATACAAAGAATTGAACTGTGAAGCATTTGGAAAAGGAGTAATTCAAACCCGAAGGGCAGATATCGTAGTGTAAACCGAAGGAAACAACAAGGCCTCAACTTAGACCCCAAGATTGGTGGGAGAGCAACAGCAAACAGCAAAACGTCAACGCTCACGAAGAGAAAAGAGATATAGTGCACCCCCTGTCTGAGCCATCTACAGGGTAGAAGGATGGGAAATAGTCACGATTTGGCGTACGCGGAACCGCATTAAAATTCTTACTGGACTTCAAAAACCCCGGTCTACTACTAAGCCATGTCCAAAAATATGCCTGTCTGTGTTGCAGGACACATTCCATATAATAAACTATTATTTATGCTCATCATTAACAATCATTAATATTGTAATAATATTATTTTATTTTGTTATTTATTTATTTACTATTTTATTTTATTCATATTTATTTATATGCTATGTATGAACGTATTGAACAAGGTGAAATGGAGTAAGGCAACTCACAAAGTGAGCAATCCGCTATATTTATATTTACATTAAAAAAGTTGTTTATATATAATTGTTCTATATACTTGCTTTATTCCTTCCTTTTTTCGTGATCATTTTTATTATTATTATTTTTTTTTTTTTAAGTATTTATTGTGTTGTTTTATTTTATTTAAATTAAAAACTTTTAGTAAAAAAAAAACTTTTCTGCTCATATATGAAGTATAGAGGAATAATCCATATTAGTATTTGTATCTACATTAATGTGTGCTCTGAACAGGTAAAATAACTAACGTGCTATTAGACTGGTGTGCGGCTCCAGATCCAGCAATTTGTCCAAATGGTTGTGGTCACTTCTACAGAGGAATTAACCGAAAAAAATTGTTACGCAGGCATATGGTCTACGAATGTGGTGTTCCATCAAAGTTCAAGTGTCCCATTTGTTCCAAACGTTTTACAAGAAAATCAAATATGAAAGTACATGCATTTTCGGTACACCAAACATTTTTGTGACATTAAGTTTGGACCATTCATAGCAGTCGTTTCATGTGTTCTATATAATTTAACCTTTCAAGTTGGAGCACAGAAGTACAGAAGTATTTCATGAATTGTGATGATTGCATATTAGCTTTGGGTATTCTATACTCAGTTTATACCCAACAGTATTAGTCTTTAGAAAGTATCTATAATCTATTGATATTTGTGTTTTAATAAGTTACTCATTATTTCATATTTGTTTGTTGTTATTGGATTAAAATTAAGTTAATTAACATTAATAATAAGTATTGTATATTTGTTAACTTCATATTATTGGTTTTTAAAGTCTTAACTAATCTGTTTTTTTTTTTTAATAGTGTTCCAGTGGCCTAGTCAGGGGAGGGGCTGAGGGGGCTGCAGCCCCACCCCCTGAAATGTTGAGAAAATTAAAAAATTATTTTAATGGTCTATGATAGTCGTTCAAAATGTCTTAAATTGTATTTAAAATATTTAAAAATGTACTGTAAGTATTTACATTTCTCAGCTATCTATCTGTGCTAGTACGTATTTAATTTGTAAAAGTGTAAAAGTTGATCTACCACCCGAAAAAAAAATCCTGGCTACGCCACTGTAGTGTTCAACCCACCAATACCAAAATTAAAATTAACAATACTTGATTAATAGATAATTTCTTTTTGTATTATATTTAAGTTTTACCAAAATTTGTAAATACTATTTATTTTCTTAAATATTACCTATAATATTTTAAAATAATATCAAAAGTACTATAATAGTTTGTTTAGTATTATTATAATTTATGAATAATTACGTTATTAAATAAAGAAAACATAACAGTTAGTTTAATTTTATACAAGAATAATAATATGTGATTTTTTATAGAAATAAGTTCATTTAGTTCATTTTTTAAATAAGCTACATTTGCAGATGTGCATAATCTTAAGAATACTATTATTTGTATTACAAAAGTTGTACGATTTGTAAAAGAAATACAATTTTTATATTTTTAGAAATAGTAAAGTTTATCATACTTCATAATTTACTAATTTTTGTCAATATATTTATATTTTTAGTTCCTACAATGGATGTGAAGATGTTTTCAATTAATCATACAAACAGTTATAAGCAATTACGTGTAGCTAGTAAAACCCATATAAAAAATATTATATACCATCAAAAATTAATCCACTACAAGATACTAGCTACTTCCCTCAATGAAAAAAAAAATAACAATACAATATTAGTGTTGTTAAAATTGTATTTATAGTTAATTAGATGATTCAATTTTTAATAGATGGCAATATTAAAATGTTTAATTGTTACCACTTTTCATGTAATATTTTGATATAAAATTTATTATTTTAAATATTATGTACTTCATTTTTGTAATATATTTATATATAGGTATTATATATATATTATAATATATAATAATACCTATGTATATATTTATGATTGTGTATTTTGTGATTTCATAGTAAGATATAAAAATCAAGAAAATAAAATAAAATTTGAATGTTTACTATTGTAAAATTAATAATTATAAAATCAATATTTACAAGTGTTAAGCTAAATTTTTAAATAATTCTCATATAGTTACATGTTATCAAATACAGCGAATAACAATGTTAATGCACTTACCTAACTCCCTATTTAGCATTTATTGTTAAGAATTTAATTATTTAGCTTAAAAATAATTTATGTTTATATAAATATAACATACACAAATACTACAATTCTGCCGTCCTAATTCAAAACAGGATAACTCCAGTCATTACGATTGTTGAGAAACAGCAAAATGTAATGTCTTTAACAGTAAATCAAACCTTAAAAATAACTTATACAAAATATTGATCAAAACTTATGCTGATATTTCTAATTGTATACCTAGAACTGATTGAACACTTTTAATTTC